GGTCCAGCACATGACGTACAGTTCCTATGGTGCCGATGGTTCGGCCATCGGTGGTTCGGCCTCCGGGTGTTCGGCCTCCGGTTGCGCAGCCCATGCACCCTCCAGCGCCACGCTGGATCTATGCCGCTGGGTTGAAGCAAAGGTCTGCTCAGAGCACTCCGGGTGCCAATGCAGTGCCCAAGGTAGTGGCGGTGAACGTTGGAGCCCCACAGGCGAAAAAAGACAACCTCTGATCGAGGGACGTGCGCCTACCGAGAACGGGGTGGAAACGATGAAGCCTTCAGATTTCAAGTCAATGTGGGACTGGAACCTTTTCGAGCTTTTTGATTGGTTCAATTTTTTCCCGGTACCTTTTTCTTTGTATTTAGGTGTACTTGTTGCGCGCTTTTGATCAGGACCTGGAATTTTCATTTGCATCGCAAGGCACCAACAAAGCATCGTTGTGATTGACCTCCGCGGTGAGGACAGGGCCGCTGGCACAATTGCAGGCGCCCTTCCGATTCCGGCCTTGGAATTCTTAAAAGATTTGCAGCAGTGGTGTGCGGAATTTTAGGGCAAACCGATGGCATCGATGGTTGGTTTTTTCTGTCAGTACAGTGCCCACAGGGCACCCATTGTAGCAAATCATGTTAGGAAGATCTGTCCGCCTACCCAAAGAGTGGTAGTGATGGAAGGAGGTTTCAGAGGGTGGGAAGCACAGAAGCTTCCAGTTGAGAACCGAAGCCCGCAGCTGTCTCAGGCAGCATACGACAACCTCGCACTGAAAATGGGTAGTGAATTGCTGTCCTTGTCGCAGGTGAGGTGTAGGAAGCAGAAAGCAAGGCCAATGAACCATTTTCTCTTCAAAATGCAGGCGTCGACGCTTGAGCAAAAGGAGAAAACAGGAAACTGTCCACGGATTTCCTGTGTATGTATATGCAATGTCAAAGTCATTTTTTTTGGGTATGTTTTTTTGGAGGCGTGGCTATTGCCCAGTTTGAAGGGCCCCCGCAAAGGTTTTTTCCGACCACTTCTACAAATCATGGAGGCCGACAAGAAAAAAGCGGAAAATTACAAACACAGGTCGGAAGGTATCATAAATATGATGTTTTAAGTTTGCACACTATATAATAATTAATATTATATATACACACACACATATATTCACCGAAAACTCCTGAAAACCACTGAAGCGAGCTATCATATGTTTCAGCGCTGTATTGAATCAAAATACTTGACTTCTGAATGCACAGTACCCATCTGCCTGAACCCGATAGCAGAGATTTTGACAACTCAGAAAGAAGATGAAAGTATGGAGCAGCTTTGTAGATGTCGTGCACCACCAAAGACCTGTGGGTTGAACCCGATTAATTTTAGCATTTGTAGCAGGGCTTCAAGGACGGCTTTGGTGCTCTTTGCCAAGGCTGCAACTCTTCATCGTGGATTCACATGGAGCTTTTCACCCGATAGGCCCGTGGTGGGTGCGAAATCATCGCCGAAGTTTTCCGATGTTCCGAAGTAAATGATGGTCATTCAGTGTTGCAGGACCAGCGCACAGCAGTCATGACTACATTGCTGAGAAGGGCAACGGTGCGTACAGTCATTGGCGTGTGGAGTCTCAAGTCGCTGTGCCCAACCTTACGAGTTAGTTCGTTCTATTTCATTTTGAATCATTTTGAGATGTTCACATATATTCACTTCGGTTCAGTGCTTGAGATGCATCCTGAGAAGACAAAAACATGTCTAATCTTTCTGGTATTTTCTGGTCGTGGAGTGGCAGTGTAAACGGCTAGGGTTGTGCAATAAATGTAAGTATGCTGCCACACAATTCTTTCAGCGACCTGCACAGATCATCAAACACGTACACTCTGCATCAACAGATTGATGCGTGCATACCAAAGAGAGGTACTGAACAGATCATGAAAAGTCATTTGCGACACTTTTTGAGGTCATCACATCACCAATGGCACGCATGGCAAGTCGATGTTGCGTTTCTCCACGTCCGAAGCTGAGACGTTTTGCCCCACGGAGTTTTCATGCAGCATTTTGGAAAGGGTCCGATATTGTCCTGTCTTTCTTGGTCACGCCATGTCACACCTTTAATTGAACCATTGAACCATGGTTCAACTGTGGTTGAAGCCCCTCGAAAAGGTGATCTTTGTGGAAGAATACTAAGAAAACCCTGATTCGGGTAGACCATGATAGACCCAAACTCATTCTCCCCTACTGGTAGCACATGGTGTTCCATAGTTTTCCATGTGCAAACTGGGTATGGCACGGGCTTGCACTTGACTAGCTATCTTCGCCTCCTTTGAGGCCCAAGAATGTGCCGATCAAGAAGGTACAGGGCATGGTCTCCCACTCAGCACTCTGGAATTGGACGCTTCTGAGAAGCACTTGAGATTCAACATATTCAACCGATTTCCTGCCATCGTCTTTGTACTCTAAGATCTCTAAGATTTCTAAGATCTCTAGGCTTCCCTTGGCTTTGCGGCGCCCTTAGGCAGCGGTGGTCTATCCGATGGTGCCTCCAATGGGTTGGATCGAGCCACATCCTGAGAGTTGCAATGAGTTGCATTCTGCACACAGAGGGATCGCACTCCGTGGGTGGCGGAATCCATGGGAATTCAAACGGGGATGGAACGAACGTGATGCCTTTCCCACAACCTCAACCAGCATGATCCAAGGTTTACTCAAGGAAAACACGTGAATCACGAGGAATGCAGGGATGTCACTGTGCGGTGGTGTCAGGTCAGCAGGGTTTGACATGGCCTGACATGATATATATATATATATATATATGCATGAAGACTCTATCTAGTAGTAGTGGATTGGAATGACTGAGAAGTTGCATAGTGTCTCATAGTCCCTGTCTGGGAGCAGACTGAAATGAGCGTCAAATTGGACCCACAGCAGGAGCTCTTTCGAGAGATGTTCTTGCAGACCTTTCCCACCGTAGGTGTGTCCAGGCGTGCTCCAAACAGTGAAGCTGTTTGCAATTGTCCAAGCCTGACAAGGATGTGGTGTGATCACGTGTTGCTTTGCGTTTTTTTTGGTTCTTTGCTGTTGTGTATTGTGAGGCCCCACTTGATTGAGGAGGCATCCGAGACGAAATCCGGAGTGAGGTGCCGCTGACAGCTTGCGGCATTTTCTTTCAAAATGTGAGATGAGCGGCGCATGCGCGCCATCCTTATCCCTACACATTGACTCACTATGATGCGCTAGACTCAACAATTCGTTACCGAGAAGGGAGATGACGACTGATGGTGCCATTGTGTAATTTTGACCACACTTTAGCGCAATTCTTGTGAATCTCCCTTGGCTCACTATCTGACGACCTGTTCACTGCCAGGTATTTGTGGAGGGTTGGAGGAGCCCATGAGTTTGAGCTTCCTTTGCAGGAAGGCGAGCTCTATGAGAAGAGGTCGGAACCACGGAAATTGAATTGCCTTGATCAATTTTTGTATCACTTTTCTGCAATGCTTAAAATCCTTGTTGTATTTGGATGTATTTGGTTGTATTTGGTGCATTGCCGCTTCATACTGAATCAACATGAATCAACTATAAGACTCAAAATAAGACTATATAATTAATTGGTAACTCAGAAGCGGGCGGCAAGACCAGAGAGGCAAAGAGGCATACAGAAACAGAGGAACAGCTTTCAACCTGTGCAAGGCTCCCATACCAAATCGCAGAGTGGTATTCACAATTCTCGAAGCAAGGCCGGCAGTGGCAACCTACTCATTATGTACATATATATAATCATATAATATCATATATATATACACGCAACTTTGCTGTTTTGGATCTATCCATGCAAGGAATGTGCCGGAGAGAAACAAGAGAAGCATTGCATCAGAGCGCAATCTCTGGAATGACGGCATCGTGCTTAGTCCCCTTAGACTATCATTGAGATATTTCACTGCAGGTGGTATTCTCTACCCGCCTCCAGAGACGTACGTGTACTACCAGAACAAGGCACCAATATTGTTGAAATGATGCGAACGCCTCCGGTTTGATGCTGTTTACCCGGAAACCATCGGAAACCCATCATGGCATTGTCGTTTTCATAGCTCTAAAGTCAATTTCTGGTGGGCACTCAAGATCTGAATCTAAAAATCACGATTCCCTTTCCAAAATGCAACTCCTGGGTCATTGGATTCGCAGATCTCGGGCCAATCTCTGCGTCTATCCGTCGTGGTTTCTCCAGGTGGGCTTGGCCAATTTGTTCAATGAGCGCAAGGTGCCTGGGATCAGACTTGATCAGAGGCAGAGGTGTCCAAACCTTTCTTGATGATAGCAATAATGACTTCAGAATCTTCAGATCTTTCACTTTCCTGACTGGCCACAAGAACAGAGATGAACAAAGATGAACAGAGGATTGGAATGTGTTGAGTGATTGGTTAAGCTGAATCAATTCCAGGTCAAGGTTGTGAAAGGCCGGTTGGACGATATTGATATTGGAGGATGTGCTGCTTGATTTTTTATAGGTCAGATAGCATTTCACAAGTATTTGGGGGTGTATGGGTGTGTTTGAGAATGAAGTATACCTCAAATCATGGCATCATCGCATCGCCCATCGCCATTAAAATGGTCATTTTCATTCATTTTCATCATGTAGCATCACTAGGTATACGTACTTTCAAAATAGCAATAGTGGACTTTACTGGGTTCTAGGGCTCTGAAGGGGTCCCAAACAAGGGGAGGCTTAAGGGCCACCAGAACGCCAGGTGAAGATCCCTGCCACCTGGGTGTTTTCCAGCTTTGCAGAAGCAGAAGCAGCAGCGACCTCAGCCATTTTGGGTCTGGCAAGATCTGGCAAGATGCAGTGCAACACGTCAGCACAAGTTTAACATAGCCTAGGAATCTGTTGATGCATTGTTCAAAACAATTCAACAGTGATGGGTCATGAGGATGGTGGCTGCCACTGACATTTTCGTAGTCAGAATACACAGGTCCATGGTGTTCGGTTCGCTGCAATCTTTAGAAGTATGGTATCAGCATCCATTTCCCAACTTCTCTTGCTCAGGAGCAAGACAACATCCAATTCCCTGTGGTCATCAAGGCATTTGTCAGCATTAGATGCTGTACTTCTGATACTTGAAGACAGTCATGTTCTTTGTTGCTGGAGATGGTGGATGTAAGGTTCCAAGGTGTGATTGTCGGTATAATAAATGTATTATATATATATATATTATATCTATTTGTCTATCTTGCCTCAATCTGATATGCAATGTGGCTTGGTGAAACCAAACCAACTTGATGTGTCACAGATAAGTTTATATTTTTTTGAGACGATACATTAATATGGATACCTTCAAGCCTAACATCTGCAGTTGAAGTGGGAACTGAGATGGATCCTTATGCAGATCTGTGCAGGACCCCTACGGATATTCCAGCTTGGGTTTGATGCAAGCAGCAGACAAGGAAGAGTTTCTCAAGGCCATTGGACAAGATGAGTTGTTTCTCAATTTTGACAAGCAACAGATGGCGATGAACTGTTCACATTTGTTTGCTTGTTTGGAGGAGACTTTCTCTTCTTTAGGTTGAACAATCTTCATGATCTTCATGATGTTTCGATTGTTGTCCCGCCATCAGCCTTGCTGAATCTGCAGAATGTGAAGCTGCACTTCGAGCATGCCCTGCCTGGTGTGGAGACCATCGTCCAATCCAAGGCTGGGCTTTGTCGACTCATCCATTGAACGAACGAACATGAACGAACAAACAAACATAAACGGTCTATTCAGGCGACCAGAGGCCAGGGGCAGTTTGCTGCAGCCAGATGGACAGGTTGTGGCTTTGCGGGAAGCTCGTGTGACTTACATTGAGGGGAGGCCCTTCCATGCGTACTGGCGAATCAGGCTGGGCTAGCTAGTGACAAGAGAAGAAGGAAACTTACATTACACGTTATTGGATGAACACAGATGCTCTGACCCACTGAAGCACATTCTCTCTTACTACTATCACTAAGCTCCAGGATTCCAAGCCCCCAAGTGGTGTTCCTTTTCCTGGAAGCCACCTGAGTTTCATCTCCAGAGAAGACAAGCGGTTGGATTCCACTACCAGCTGGCATCCCTCGTTGATCCTGGTTGGATGGGTTCATTTGAACAGCAACCTCAGACATGAGAGCTGATATCTCTTACAGAACTTGAAGAGGGGCAAGTTGGGATGAATTGGTACAGTAACTTTTCACATCACTCTTCAAGAACGGTTGTGCACCTTTGACATTTGCAATGCATCGGATAAAGCAGACCGCTCATTGTGTGAGAAGGTTTACAAAACAGATGTGACTTGTACTTTGCTGTATTCCGGAAATATCCGGAAATGCAGCAACTGTTTTCGAGTAGCAAGATTCACTCGGTCAAAAATCCACCAACGCAAACATACAGAACAAGCAAGCGGTTTCAAGTTCATGCATTCCAGACCACCCTCGGGAAAAAATATTGTCAAAGGGAGGCCAGCAACTATCGGCAACTCCCTCCATTGTAAACATTCTGGAAAAATGCACTCTGAAGCCCTGCTACACAACAAGCTCCAGTCTCCAATTAAAGGGGCTCTAAACTTTAAACTTTGTTTATGAATGATTGCTCTGGCTTCATTGTCATCAACTTCATAGTATATATAGTATGAAATCTTTAGTATCTTGCCTTGTCATCGACATTCACATCATGTCACATCATCATGTTCATCCTCATCCTCTTTGCCCTCCTTCCCAGCGTTGCCATCGAACTTTTTTGGCTGTCGTCACTGTCTTCATTTTGATTCCCAAACCCATTCTCATTCGGTGCCCCTATGCCGCTGGCATCTCTTGTGCGATCTGCATTGTTTTTACTTCCCTTTTTAGTTTGGTTACATTCCGGACGTCTACCGAAAATGAGAGGTTTGCAAACATCAATAATCAATGCCTTTACTTTCAAGCGCCGGGGTACTAGCTGTAAGGGTTCCAGCAACATTTTTGACCAGAGATCATGCCAGGAAGTCTCTGGATTCCGCTTCGGCCGTCTTGCTGGCAAATTCTGCTGTTTCTATGCTTTTTGTCAGTGAGCATTTTTTTCAAATTCGTGGCTCTCATCACATTGACATATCTGACAAATTCTGACAACATCTAATTTGAATATATTTGAATATTTGGTAGATTTTGATAGTCCCATGTATTCCCTGTGCCAGGCCAGCAACCTCGGAGGATACCAGGACTTTGATTTCCCCATGCTGGGGCCTGAGGTCCGGAGTTCCATGTTACCTTTTGAAGAAAGAGGGATCCTGATCGTTTGATAATGCGCAAGGGTGCCAGATTTTCTGATGCTGGCAGGAGATCTAGTAGTGCAGTCTGTAGAGCACCATTGACACAAACGATGCGTTTCACGAGTGATGAGTGGCATGGAAAATCAGTTTTCAAGGATCTTCAAGGACTAAAAGGGTAGATTTTGATGATTTTGAATGATTCTTGACTTATGACTTATGACATTTCTGACCCCCTGAGGCAGGATATTGCACCCTACGTTGCCGAGTTTGCGAATCAGACACTTTGTACGCACAAAGGCTGCTAGTCAACCCAAGCTGCAAGTGCGAGTTGTGTGCTGGGAAGCAAAGCTTTCAAAGCACTTTGGCTAGAAATCGAATTACGTAGTTTACTGTAGTAACCTTTAGTATAGCAAATATCAGAACAGAGCGCATTGCTGAGGGCTTTCGACTATACCGTGATCTGGGTTAGTGACATTTCCACATGATCTGTGATGAGGACTGGAATACCTGTTGGAGGCCAGTGACGAGCTAGTGTAGACAGAGAATCATCTTTTCATTGTGCTGGTTTGTCATCCACTGCATGCTGCAATAATATGTTGCTCAGATTCCTCCCAAGAGCAGACACACACACACAGGCACTGAATGTCACTTACTGCACTGCCTGGGTCAATGACCGCTGACATCGGCATATTGCCTGGAGGTGTTGACTTCATATGGGAAGCGGCGGATGCAGATGTGAAGACGACGCCATATACTCTGGAGGTTTCTACATGTTTCCACATCATGCAGCTGTGATGGCAGTTTTTCACATTGATCCTAGCTTCTTGTGCAGTTGCATGATGTGGACAATCACATCAATAACTTTGAATTGGACAGCGACTTTCCAGACTTTCCAGCTCCTGTACTTCCGTCACCACAAGAGATTTCCACGCAGGTTTCGCCCACCAGTGACATCAATCCGCAAGGGCCCAGATTACCACGCTTGATCCACTGGCTACTGGGAAATCAGGGTATCATATTAGGGTAAATCCCAACCTTGGTGATTTTGGTTGCGCAAAAACATGCCAAAACCATGATTTATGATGAACTTTAAGGACTTTGATGAAAACTTATGGCTTATGGTCACCCCTTCAGATGGAAAATCCACAGGAAATCGATAGAATTTGAGGCCAGCACCACCCTCCTGGCACAAGACCTACAAGGAGTTCAAGAAGACGAAAGGCCAGATGAGAAGCTCGTTAGGTGAGTTTTGGAAGTGAAGACACCCAGACACTGTTTGTGAAATATATATATATAATAACTTATTATGGGTTGATGATATTTGATGACACTAGTCACTAGTCACGAGAGTATGTTACAGCCTTTCTTTTTTGCAGGATATGATGTGTCCTATATAATTAACCTATTGCATTTGATCGTGATTGACAGGCATGAAAGAGTACGGACCCAGTGTTTCAAGGGGTTGAATAAACTGCGCGATTCAATGATCTGTGTGAATAGATTGCTTGCGCTTAGTGGGTGTTTGGAAGATATCTTGGAGTTGATTCCTGCTGACACAGTTGCTGCATGTTTCCAAAGTGAAACTGAAGATCACTGAAGATCGCATGTCTGTCGAGAGTGAAATGAGGTGACAATATGTGACAAGCACACCTAGTCAGAGCGAAAGTACATCAAACATAATCAAACAATATTTCAAACATTCAGATATTTGTGACAAGAGATTTGGCTGTTGCAAGCCTTCCAATCGTGGAAGTCAGACCAGATCTTCTCAGCATCCCCCAAACTTGAAAGCCTCAGTCAATTGGATCTTTCCTGCAGGCCTTTGGGCTTGATGCCCGGAATTAGTACCGTAGATATGCACTAATGTTTTCCTGTCGCAGGCTATCGACGAGCGCATTCCTGGCATGGTTATGGACTTGAAACAAACTGCCGCTACTGTTTAAGAAAGACAGCCGTCGGGAGAACTTGAGGCTCTGTAGGAATGCACAGAAGGAGATGCAAAGGCTTTTAGACTACAAAGGATTTCATGCAGCATGGGGCTTAGTGACATGCAACAAGGTCAATGAGCCACTTGTATCCACTTGTGATATCCTGTGATTTTGTGTTGATTTGTGGGTTCCGGGCTGCAGTGAACAACGGCCGTGGAAAAAAATGGGTTTTTGTTATTTCTTGGTGGTTTGCTGGACACTAAATGGTTGGAACGAATGGCGACAATGAATCGAACACTCAATGACTGAAACCATCCTCCAAAGACAAGAACAATGATGTACAGCTCAGCCATGCACATGGCACATGTGTACACATACATGTACAGACAGTACGTATATGATCGTATATGTAATATCACCACCCTTTTCGTGGGGTGTAAGCAAGGGGGCCTTCAAAAAATGTAAGCAACAATTTTGACCCCTGCGTACTTTCTCCCGATGGGGAAGGCTATATGTATCTTAGATCCTACGTCAAAAACCGTGCCCCGGAAGATTTACATTTAGCCATCGCTTATCCCCAAGAAATGTGGCAGCCATTGGTCACAAGTCCAGATCCTGCAATTTTAATTGACGGTCCCACGCGGCTTAGTCCCAGCGCAGCTGGCGCTATTTGTGAATTTTTCTCGCAATCGGCATGGGTCGTTGGGTCGCATAGATCCATCCATAGAACGTCGTGGGTTGAGATCGTGGCAGATTTTATTTTCCAGTTTGGATACTTTCCGGGTTTCATAAATCAATCCATGACTTTGAAAGTGCTTGTCCAAAGGTTCAAGCGAGCTGCCATGCGATTGTTCCAATTCCACCAGCTGTCCATTAATGCCCTGAGATCTACACATTTGCTGAGTTTTGGATTTTGCCACATTGCATCCCTGCACATTTCTCGTTCCTTCCATTTTCCGGATCATATCTTCGCTTTCTTGAAGGGGCGCGCCTCCAGATTTGCTGCAAAAAATAATCCGCTCAATTTTGTGCCACCTTTACATGAGTTCTTTGATTGAGTGATGCTTGCGTTCAAATTAAATGGCATTCGCCTACGCCGTCTTCGCCCAGTTTCTTAGCTTGGAGGTGGCTGAAAGTCCGTAAGAGATAGGTCAGATAGGTCACCCCGTACCCCCCTCCGAACCCCCCCCGTACTCTACGGATAGGGGGGGTGGGGGGATGTAAAAATTCTTAAATGTCCGCAAGCAGTTTGTAAACTGTTTGTGAGGTGTCTTTGTGGGGGTGTAATCAACCTATGTCTGAGGTCCATAGTTCCTTGAAGAAAGTGTTCGAAAAAGAAGGTAAAACTAAGATAGAACAATGTAACCGTCCTAACCTACACCTGAGGTCCTTAATTCCTGGCAGAAAGTGCTTAAAAAAGAAGGTAGAGATGAGATAAAAAAATGTAACCATCTTACACTTGAGGTCCTTAATTCCTTTCAGAAAGTGCTCAAAAAAGAAGGTGGAGATAAGATAGAATCATGTAAGCATCCTACACCTGAGGTCCTTAATTCCATGCAGAAATTGCTTAAACAGAAGGTAAAAATGAGATAGACAAATGTAACCATACTACACCTGAGGCATATAATTCCTTGCAGAAAGTGCTTAAAAAAGAAGGTAAATATAAGATTAAAAAACGCAATCCTATACATTAGGTCCATTGTTCCTTGCAGAACGTGCTCGAAAAAGAAGGTAAAACTAAGATTGAAAAATGTAACCATCCTACACCTCAGGTTCCACAGTTCCTTTCAGAATCAACATGACACATGTGTAGATTGTTATTATATTATGGTTGGAGGGTCATAAGGGGGGCTAGATAGGAACCGTGGCAGAAGGGTGTTTAAGTTCGATCATGTAGGTACATAAAGGGGGTTTACCATGGGGACCCCATAAGGGTTCATTTGAAGTCCTTTTGAGGTCCATTTGAGGTCCATTTGAGATCTTTGTTTGTATTGTTTTTTCCATAGGTAGGAGGCAAATTTGAAGACCTTCAACATCTAATTTAGGATTTTCCAGTAATTTGCAAGGAATAATATACCTTCTATACCTCTATGTTACATGTGGAAATGATTTAAAACATGTAGAAAAAGTGCAGAATGTATTGGAAATACCAGGCAATTGGGGACCTGCACACTTCCAGTTTGCATCGTTGATTTTCTGCAATTCTGCGGCCATTTGCAGACCTTCGCACTATTTCTACATTTTTTTCATTGTTTTACATTTTTTCAAAAATCCCCCGCGTTCTCAAAAAAATAAATGAAATCCCCTAAAGAATGAGGGGACCTACTAAAATGAAATCTTGCAAATAAGACGCAGTTAAAAAAATATATGTTTGCCAACATTTAACAGGACCACCTCCCTCAAAAACGTCTAATTAAATTGTGTCTTGCAATTTGGGTACACCCCCCCTCCTTAAAAGGGTAGTGATTCTGTAATTATGTTTTTATTTTTGTCTAATTATTCATATTGTTTATTTGTTTATCGAGTTGCTTATTTAATGTATATAAATTGCTTGTTTATATGTTGATTTAAACAGTTTCTGACTGGACAAATCCGGCGCACTCTTGGAGCAAACGTTCTAGGGGACATCCTTCAAGCATATGTAGGTGAAGAGTAATGCAAATGATCCCTGGTCAGATGGCTAATGACTGCCAGGTTTTTGCAGGTGAGACGTTTGTGGTCCGACCCACAGTGTGATCGTTTGCTGTCACATGGCCTTGATAAAATGAAGAGATGTAATTGGCCTTTCCTTGCATTCCATCATGGGATCTCTATTCTGATGAGGAATTAAGACCAGCATAACAAGGATACCGGATACCTGATAATCACCTCATATCTAGTGGGTCAGACAAGCAAGAGGAAAGAAAAGCAAGAGGAACAAAACAGGACGGGACCTTGAATGGCTTTGATGGTATCCTCAGGACAGACTTGATGACCTTGGCAGTCATCGACAAGTGCCTTCTTGCAAGCGTTGCGGTTGAGTCCTTCTGCGTTAATTTCTGATGGTTTTGTCTCATGGCCTGCAGCTTGGATCTGTCAAAGGCGTAGACAAGGTTCTCAGTTCAAAATCAGCTAGGATCATGGATCCGCGCAGCTTCACTTCACTCCTTTGCCAAAATTCCTGGAGCACAGCCCCAGGTATCGCCGCGAGCGCAAGGACTTGTTTGTTGACATTGACAACGTTTCAAAGCTCAGAGTACTGGAATGGTGAGGTTGCAGCTAGCCACGCTAATGTGTCGTTCGCTGAGAAACACAGATATGCAAAGATACTAAATTGTAATATCGAGCGTATCGAGCCTGGAATTGAATGAGCTGCAATGAGCTCATAGGAAATAGAGGAATTTGAATTGCTGCTGCAGACTGCGGACACACTGGCATGGAGCAACAGATGGATGTCAGTGACCAAACAGCTCATTTGGGCAATATTTAGGCTTGTTGATAGGCCAGATTTGGGAGAAATGGAGAGAATGAACCGGGTGTAAGATATTGACCAAATAAAATTAGCATCTTGCAGGCTTCCCTGAAGCATGTTCTGGTTGGATTGCGTTTATGTTCTTGCAAAGGTAGTGGCACTTTCAATGGAACGTGTCAGGCGATATTCCGGAGAGACCCCATTGGCGAGCGTTAGTGATTTTTTGTACCATTGAAGAGGCACACTTTGACCATAAGAATGGCACAATATGTGTGCGTTCGTATTGGAAGGACATGATGCCAGCTTCGCCCAAATGTCACTTTTGCAAGGATTCAGGGTCAGACAGCAATCTTCTTCCAACCAACTACCATCATCTACCGTCAAGAAAATAACCTTTTCCAAGCGGCGTGAACTGTTCCTTTGTGTCATGTGCTAGGCGATGTAAGGGAAACAAGAAGGCCTACACTGCTGCAGAGGTGACGCCAAGACATAGTAGATCATAGTAGGACCTCGGCAGAAGGTAAAAAACAAAAACTTCTTGTGAGAACTTTCTCAACCCTTTGAAGAAAAGGCGGAACTTATCCATGGGCTTCTGGATGGCACACTTGACGAGAGGTTATGCAAGACAAGCCGGTTCCCGGTGCTGCAGAAGCCCTCCGAAGGTTGGATGCAAATCCCCAAAAAGGAAATCTGTTTGGTGATAGCAGATCATCAGCAGCTGGAGCTGAGTGCATGTTGTTGCCGAGCACCACTTTGTTGGGAGCATGGAATGTTTGCATTGCAGTGTGCAGAGTTTCCAGGCTGCGGGAACACTACTTCATCCGCTTCCTAACGGCACGAGGGTCGTACGAGGAGCAACTTCGGCAACAACAAAAGAACAAACTTATTCATCTCATTCAACTTCAACACATCAATCAAAGTTAGTCAGAGTATATCAGGGTTGCTTACCAGAATCATGGACTGGTCATGATTTCGTCCCTGTTCTCCCCTTGCGAATGCTGCAGGATCCTTTCAATGTCACTCAGACCTGGCTTGACCTCAAGGGCTTCGAGTATGACGAGCTTATTGTGGTTGACGGACCAGAATCGAAGGCTGTGTTCATCGATGTTCATTGTATGAATTGTATGTACTGTACTTGTGTCATTTTAAGCATTGGAACCAATGGATATACTCCAATTGACTCTAAGACCTGTCATCCCGGCCATGACATGTTGGAATACATTAGCAACTGTTGTTGAAAGACTTGGATGAAACGGTGACTTTGGTGACAATGGTGGCAGTGATGGGCTTCGGAACAGGTGGCTCATTTATCAGCAGACTCGATTTTGGTAGATGACTTCACCCTGGGGCATGAGAAGGAGGAGAGACTTTCTATATCTACAGCATGGCAGTTCACCAAGGGAAAGAATAGAACATATGATTCCGTATTTGTGAAGCTATTTGAAGCTGTCCAGGAGCCCAGCATCAACCAGAAATTCATAGACCAGCTCACATCGGTTGGGCACTTGGGAATTCGGACTTGGAAGGCTTGGAAATTTGATGCCCGAAGTTGAAATCAGTAGCATTGGTCCCTGCGTGGGCTCCAAGTGCCATGGGTTGTCAAAGCAATTTCTTGCACGTGGCAAAGGCCGGCTTACCTTTCATCCAATTTCCGCTTGGTGGGAGCCGGGACCTTGGAATCTGGACAAGGAACAAGCCGGAAGCATTACGCATTTACAAATCAAATCTATTTTCCGTTGGTAATTCAATAAACAAACATAAACAAACTGATATACTATAATATATTCTACATTCATCAGATTTTGTCCGAACTTTCCTCAGAATTCTAGGCTGGGACGAAATTATGACATTATTCAAGATTGAAATAAATACATTCATAATAATCAATAAATAAATAAGAAACAACATGGAACCCACTACTGAAATCTTTCCTTTATTTTTGTTCCGGCGCCTCCCCTGACTATTAAATTATTGTAATTTTAAATAATATTTATATAGAAAAATAGAAATTTATTATATAATTATTTCTCGGACAAATCGGATCAAATATTTTAAAAATATATATTAATTATAAATAATTTTTATAATATTAAAATATATGAATTAAATTTAAATATAAATTATTTTAATAAAAAAAATAAAATAAAATAAAAATATTAAATAATATATATATTTTTTTAAATAATAATAATATAAATATATTAAAATAATTAAATAAATATATAATAAATATTCTTTAAATTTCTTT